AAAAATAAAGGTGTGTGTAGAAATACAAATATGAAATGAGGTTATTTTTTTAACGTACAAAATAAAATCTGAATTTTTCCCATTAAATTAATTATTACACAATATAACACCCCTTCACACAACCCCCAAAATAGACAGCCCCAAACCAAACTAAACTTGACCTTGGGTATGTTGTGCCAAATACCAAACCTGGCCTTATTTATACTGTGCCAAATGCCAAACCTTCTGTGAAGGTGGTTTTTTTTTTTTTTGTCTCTGTTCCCTTTTTTGTGTTTTCTGCTTCTTATCTTGCTTGTCTTGGTTTAGTGTGGAAGCTTTCCCAGATGGATGTTGCCTTAATTATCATATCAACTATTATGCATATCTGTAGTGTGCTGTGCAGTTGTTAAAAATACAGCTTATAACAGCCTCTATTGAGCAGTACAGCCAAGTTAACGTATGTGGGTACAGTGATGTCTTTTCAAGAGTTCATCACTTTATTTTTTGAAACTGTTAAGAACAATGTGGGCATATTCAGAGTTCCAGAACTAAATCCTATACATTTCTTGCACTACCGTGTTAATAATTATGTCAGGTATCACAAAAACTTAACATGATCCTCCTAAATTCTGTAACCGACAATTCTGCCAACAAGTAGGATTGAGAGACAGATACTTATTCACGTATCATGGTTGACTCTATTTGATGTCTAAAGGAAAAATGAACTCAAACTGGAAAGTCTCTAGTGGCAGGAGCATTTGTATGATCTCTTTCACAAATACTTGCTTTCTCCCAGATTGTTTATCTCCCTCAGTGCAGACACTAATAAGATACTTTCCCCTGTCTGGTTGTTTTCCCATGTAATATGCTATAATAAATGGGGACCTTTACATTCAAGAACAGTACTTTCCTGTGAGATTTAACTCTATAGCAAGCTGCTATTTATTGATGTACTTAATGGCTCTGAATTTATTTTAATGGTTAATCTGTTTCTTTAAAAGCTTCGTATTTTACAGGGATGGAACTTGATTTACAAACGAGATTGGTGTGTTTGTACCTTTTAAATAGACAGAATTCATGGCTTTTAAATAAACAAGAGTATGCAAATTGAGGATATTTTTCATCAGCCCCCTGTTACTTTCATATATTAACTAATCCTGAATTTTGGCTATTAAAATAATTTGTGGGAAAAGCTGCTGTTCCAATGATTTTCTCTGTATTTAGCTCACAGAAACAAAGTTGTAAGGCAAATACCGTACTCTGTGCTGTAGTTAAAACCACAGCAAAGTGGTGCCAGCACTGAGGCATACGTGTATCCTATCACTTGGTGTGTACCTGGGCCTTAAAGACTGCATCTCCAGAAAAGCAATTTGGTTCACTCATGTTTCTTCCTTTACTTCTTTTGGTGGGGAGGAAAAGGAATCTTGTTAGGTCTTTGGTTTCTTTTAATATGGAAAAGTATTTTCTAGCTCGTTGTGTAGTAATTTAGCTTTCATCTAGATGTATTAACAGAGTATTTGACACTACTGTTTCCCTTCTCATCCTCATCTTTTGCTTTCCTCCTTCCCCCAAAAAATATCTTCTGTTTTTCCCAGTGGCTCATAATCCCTGAATTGCAAGCCTTATCTATGGAGTTCTAATACATCTTTGTATCTCATGTTATACAAATTAATGCATAGCATTATATATGTGTGGGAAGTTTCATGTTGCATTGATGGCAAGATGGTCGATGTAGACTTTTATACCGTGTAGTTAGCTTTAGATTTGGTGCATTTAATTCATGCTCTATCACTGGAAATTGCAGTAGCAGTTATGCATCGCAATGATGTGAAAGCCACAGGATTGCGATGGTAGTCATTTATACTAGATACATTACAAGAAATTCATTTTGTTCCAGTAAAGGGAGATAACTAGTATGATTTAACCGTGCTTTTCAGCATGTACATACATGATATGGTTAAGACAGTTGAAGGTAATCTGAAAAATGAGGTGGTCGTAGTTTTTTTTAGGGTATGACTTTATTCAGAGTGCTAAAAGTACTGTGTAACTGAAAGATAAAACAGCTGACAAAGTTAATACTGATGAATACTGAGTGCTTTGCATGGGGGAAGATGTTTCTAATTTTACATATACGGTAGTGGGCTCTTGGTTGTTAGCACTCTGGAGAGGGGTATTGGGATTTCAAAATATAAATGTTTGAAAATGTTAAGCCAGTGTTTAGTAACCATCAAGATACAGGTGAAATGTTAGGAATTATTTCAAATAGAGAGCAGACTCCTCAGTCATTCCTGTGTCATTCTTTAAGTTTTTTAACTGAGCTGCAGTATTGCCTGTAGTTCTGGACTTCCCATCCTGGAAGGGTGCAAAGGGATAGAGGAAGTAGGAGTGGTGGGACTGACCAGTGGCACTGCGTGCCTTACTTGGCACCAGCAGCAAACCAAACCAGAATTCTCAAGCCAGGAAAGGTTTTGATGGGGTGTGAAACAGAGAAGGGCTTGCCTAAGACATTTTTAGAGTCACAGGCTCCATAGTTAAGAAGGCATTAGATGAAATTCATAATGTGCAGATTTAAAGTAAAATAGAGATAGTTTCTCATAATATGTATTTATTTAAACCGTGGAGCTCAGAGACTGTAGTGAATGCTGAAGGATGGTGTCTCAAACAAACAGAATCTAACACACCTCCTACCCCCAAAAGTGTGAGGAAGAAAACTTTTCTGTTTTAAACAGAAAAGTATCACCGCTAGTTCAGGAAATGTTTGATCTGTTGGTTTCTGAAAACTGAGTATACTTCAGGGAAAGTGTCATCACTCTGTTTTTTCTCGTTCATATCTTCTGTTGCTCACTTTCAGAAATCAGGTAGTACGGGAGATGGATTTTGAGTCTAGCTTTCGCTGTTCTTGAAACAACTGGCATGGAGATTCATCTTGTCAAGGAAGATAATGTCACAGAACATTGCAGAATATGTGTTGTACATTGCATTGGAAACCACAAAACTACCTTAAGTTAATCAATTAAGTTTATTTCTGTGTTCTGCTTGTGTAAATTACTAGTATATCATTTGATTGGAGGTAAGAGAAAACTAATATTCACTCATAGTTTTGAAATATATTTATTTTTCTTGGCGTCACTCATTTTTCAGTTAGCCAATTCCTTATCCACTGAGTGGTCCACCCATTAAATCCATGTTTCTCCAATTTAGAGACAAGGGTGGATGTCAAACGGGACAGTGTCAAATGCTTTGCACAGGTCCAGGTAGATGATGTTAGTTGCTCTTCTGTTATCTGCCAACGCTGTAACCCTGTTGTAGAAGGCTACTAAATTTGTTAGGTACGATTTGCCTTTAGTGAAGCCATGTTGGCTGTCACCAGTCACCTCCTTACTTTCCATTTGCCTTGGCATAGTTTCCAGGAGGATCTGCTTCATGGTCTTGTTAGGCCTAGAGGTGAGACTAACTGGCCTGTAGTTCCCTGGGTCTTCCTTTTTTTAATTTTTTAAAAATGGGTGTTATGTTTCCCCTTTTCCAGTCAGTGGGAACCCACCAGACTCTCACAACTTCTCAAATATGAGGCACAGCAACTTCATCCGCCTGTTCCCTCAAGACCTGCAGATGCACCTCATCAGGTCCCATGGACTTGTGCACCTTCAGGTTCCTCAGATGGTCTCAAGCTTGATTCTATAGTGCACAGTTCTTCATTCTCCCAGTCCCTGCCTTTGCCTTCTGTGACTTGAGCGGTGTGGCTAGAGCCCTTGCTGGTGAAGACTGAGGCAAAAAAAGAGAGTTCTTTTATTGGAATTTGGGTCTTGAATCTGTTTTCTAGAATTATTTTTTTCTGGCTTTATTGTTTAAAAGTTCATCTTAAATGGCAAGATATGAAGAGCCTTTGCTGGTGATAACATTGAGATCCCTCCTTCACCTGGGGATGATTTTGGAGAAAATGTAGTGTATCTGCTGTTAAGAAGCCTAGGTCGTACTGTATCTGTATCTGACAGAGTTATCTGAAAATCCACCCAATGGAGATGTATCAAAATATGTGTAAATTAACCGCCACAAATATAAGCGTGTTATCTTTCTCCGTGAGACTGAATCCATTTAGTGACTTATAATTGATTTCCAAAGCATAGTAATTTGATTCCTAGTATCAAATAAAAATAATTCTCTTCATGTTTTCAGTGACAGCTAACCAACTGGAGGTTTGTAAGGGTATGTTTAAGCTGCTTTTGGTATGTTTGAGCTGGAAGTTGGAAATTCTTCCTGTGGCAGATGTGTTTTTGCTGTATAACTGCTTTCCCTTTATTTTCAGAAATACTAATTGATGTTTTATCTAGTGCTCTGGTATTCTATTGATGTTTATTTTAACATCTTTGAACTACAGAAAAAACTTAATGAGAGTCTACTTGCATTTGAAATGACAAAACAGTGTGTGTGTATACATATATAAAAATACAAATCCCTGTAATCTATGTGCTTTTAGCATCTTATGCCAGATCACATCAATGATATTCTTTTATTCTTATGGTTACAAGGCTTTTTTTTCCTACATTCAAAGAACTCAACAGGAATAACATCTTTGATCTTCAGAATAGAAAGTCTACTCTTTAACTGGCTCGTATACATAGGACATTGGTGGCACGTATTTGGTAGCAAAGAGCCTTCTTTTCAGACTGTGCAATACTAACTATTGCCTTACTGGACTGGAATATAAATCTAGGTGAATGATAGAGGACTTACTGTTTTAACCGGCCTGTGAATTGACTTATGAAATACAGGAAATTTTGTATCCTTATTAAGTCAGGACAAAATTCCTCAACAATCTATCCTAATTTCAATTCATTTTTAGATTTAGAAGTTTAATAGATTGTAAATGCATAGTGGTCTCAGGATATTTCAATTACTTTATTGCAATGTTTTAAAAAAGTTTTGTACAAAGGAACAAAAATTGTTTGAAGTGCAGTATCTTGTTCTTCAATCAGTCTAGAAACCTCCCTGAGTGCCTAATTGTTTGTTTTGTTTCCTCTTAGATGAATCGACTCCTAAAGAAGTCAGCAGGGTAAGTGCTGCTCTCTTGTCCCCTCTAAAAAGAAGTGGAGTCTCTGAGGCCCGGTGTTAACTTGAGGTGATTTTTGTGCAGTGGATCTCTAGAGAGAAAAAAATAAATTGGTGTATTGACTGCCTAAAGAACAGTAAATAAGGAAAATAAAAATTAAGAACACCTGATTGGCTGTAAATAAATTTAAGGGTATTTTGCATCGACAAATTTAGATTTCTCCCAGTGCTATTTTCATGATCCAGTTTTAAAAAGGTACTTCACAGGAACCAGGAAAATCACGGGACTGTGAGCATAACAGCCTGGCAAGCAGAAGAGGAAACAAGGGACGGAATATGCCCTATCTAAAAATTCCCTTTGAGATGTGCTGTGCTACACATGAGCTAAAGTCTTTAATTTGAAATACTTTGCAGTGTACTGTATAAAATGTAATTTAAATTCTTAAGAAACATACTCAGTAATGAATTCCCAGCTCTGTCTTTACATCTGATTGATACTGCGTCCTGCAGAATATCAGTCCGTGGTTGAGGACTAGTTTAGGGGAATCTGTTAGAAACTTGTGCCTTTTCTGGGAATGACAAAAGATCAGTACAGGACAATCTGTTGCCCTCAAATGTGTCCAGTCAGCCTGAAGCACCTGACTGTTGTTTCATATAAGATGAGGGAGCCACTTAACAGTTCTCTGAAGTGGAATCGTAGTCCTGTTTTGCTCCTCTTCTTGAATGTCTTGCATAAACTATTTCTTGTTCCCAGGGGAAACACAGTAGTGTCAGACACATATTAAAAATAAGGCTGATTGAAAGACTGCAAAAACTGGCTGGGTGGTCTTGCTCTCAGCAGAAGTCTTTTGGAAAATACTGAAGTATAAAAGGAGTGGAAATGGGCTGGTAGTGGAAATCTCAGTCTGGTAACTTGGAGGGGCAGAGGGCTGGTATAAGGGGGAACTGAAGTTCACCTCTTTCAAGACTACGAAAAAGAGATTAAATGATGTCTAAAATGAGTTTTTTCAAGCAGAAATTGTCCATATACCTGATGTGCTACGAATGCATAAGTTTGTTGAGAACTTAAGTGGAAATTAATATGTTCTAGTAATTTATTATAACACTTTTTGGTCACTCCTTAGTATCAAACAGTTATGGCAGTTGAGTAAATACCTACCAGTGCAACCAAAGATTACTGTTATTAGTGTATCTCTACATATTTTTTTTTTAATATCAAAACAATTAAAGATCTGCCTAAAAATCTCAGAAGCCATAATTATTTATGTGGAGGAAAGTTCCTTTTAATTGTTAATACTTTGGTAAATAGATTCACATTTTACCTAAAACTCTGTAAAATGGAGTTGCAAAACATAGCTAGGTTACTACATTTGAGGCAAAACCAAAAAGCAGTCCCTGAAACCTTGAACCTCCCTGAGTCTGCCCTATAAGTTGCCACCTCTCTTTATCAGACGTGCTGGTCCCAGCCAATTCAGCCCCTCAAAGTCATAAATAGAATCATAGAATGGTTTGGGTTGGAAGGGACCTCAAAGATCATCTAGTTCCAACCCCCCTGCCATGGGCAGGAACACCTCCCACTAGAGCAGGTTGCTCAAAGCCCCATCCAGCCTGGCTAGGCTGGATAGTAACTTAGAGTTCTCCTGAAGATGGATGGTCTGTCATTTCAATTCCTGGTTCTAAAGTAAATGTTTTATCCCCCCTCCCCCCAGCTTTTTTTTTTTTAGCTGTCAGTCATTGTGCGCTTGATATGTCTACCGTGTTACACTATTATTATTTTTTTTTTTAAAATACAAAACTTGAGGACATTCAGTGATGCACCGTACTACAAATGAACATGTTTGTTAGTTTATAGTATTTTTGAATAATGCTGTATATAATAATGTAAACCTTTGTAATACATCCTCTTTCTTCAGCAGCAGCTCAAACAGATGCTGGTTTAATTAAAATCTGAACATAAATTAGAATTTAAATTAGGAAAGTTCTGTACGTGAACAATATTTTTCAGACAAAAAGATGTGTTCATGCTGACTGAAGAATTATGAGTTCTAAAGTCATTAAGTATTACATTTTTAATTCCTGAAAATGTCTTCAAGAAGAGACATATCACAGGGAAGCAAAAATAAAGGTTAGTGAAAGGAAATTTATTGCAGAATTAAATCACCAACTGGTTTAAAATATCTTTATTAGTTAGGAACTGAGGTAGAAACGTGCTGAAAAAAATGTGGTCTTCATTGCTGGATTTTTTTTTTTTTTTTTTTTTTTTTTTTTTTTTTTTTTTTTTTTCATTATTCAATGCTGGGCAGAGCGAAAACATTAAAACATTCATAGTCATATGTTGTGACATCAGTTGCTTCAATAGTCTCCTTTTCTATTGTGCATACACAGGACAAGAGAAGTAAATGGGGGAGGATATTTTTTGTTTAACCCTTTTCTCACCCAAAAAAGCCTCACCTTTTTTTCTTTATAAACCTACAAGCTCATAAACTTGTTCTGAGGCTCTAACTACTGAACTTACCATTTGATAGCCCTTTTTTATTTTTATCAGCAAAATGCATTGGGATGAATGGTGTCCAGATTATTTGGGGGGGAGCAGGAAAAAAGCTTTTGGAATTATTGGAAGGAAATTTCAGTATTTTCAGGAGTTCATGTTGCAGTTTCACACTTTGAAAATTGAGGAAGTTGTGAAAAATGCTGTTGTATGGGAGCTGCATTTTCAGTCTTGCCACTTTTAGTAGCTCAGTAGAAAAATGGAAGTATAGTAGCAATCTTGGCTATCGGCATTACATTGCATGTTTTTGAAACAAGGAAAGAGTAGGAAAAGCCTTCCAAATATTTTAAATTTTGAGGTTTGTAGACTAGAAAAGAAGCTTTTCAAAATATGTTATTTTTAAATCCAGTCCACTTACAGCAATTTCAGTAATATTTTGGTGTTCAGAAGTTACATGTAAGGACGTTCTAGTCTGGCCTGACATAGTAGCTGATGGGTCAGGGTTTGAGGGGGGAAGATTTCCTTTTCCTATAGACTGCTTTTGGCACAAGAACAATTCTGGTTACGAAATATCTCAGGAGTATCTGTGACCAAACAGTGAACCTGTGAACTTTTTTGCTGCATGCTAGATTCCAGTATTTATGAAATATATGTAACTGGGGACAGAATCTCCTTTTCACGTGCTGTAGTGTTGGGAACATCCTTGGAAATGCTGAGTTTCTTCTGCTTACTTACTGTGCAGATGTGCGTTGGCTGATCCCATCCATCCAAGTTACAGAAGTGGTTTTCTGGAGAGAGGGATTTCAGAAAGGAAACCAACTTTTGAACTATTTTGATGAACTTTGGTTTTGCTGGTTTATCCACACAATAAATGAAAATAGAGGAATGTGAGTTTGAGCACTACGTGCATATGTGTTCATGTATATCTAGACTGAAGACATACTTCTTTGACAGTATTAGTGAAAACAGTGTCCATTGGAGACATGTTACTCTTTTCATTTGGCAAAAATAACCCCATTCCTACATGAACTATAGCTGCTAACTTCCCCATGATCACTGTGTGCTCTTTTGTACCTCAGATTCTGCAGTTTAAACAAAAATACTTAATGTTCCTGATATGATCACAGTGAAATTAGTTGTTGTTCGTTTTGCTTAATGACTTTCCATTCCATGTTTACTTGAACAATACTTCCAGTGAAGCTGCCTTTTGGCAAGTACCTTTGCTTTGTAAACTCCAGTGATGCCAACAGCAATTCACTTTGCAGTTTACCATATAAATACCAGAAAATTATTACCTAGCAAGTGACTAGCTCATTTACAGTACTTTATTCTTGGAAAAGGGAATAATACTTTAATCTTCTCCTTTCCCCTTTTTGGACTTGGAGCTTTTGGCAGCTGCCTTGGCATCAGCTAGCACCCAGCATGGTATGTCACTGACAGTTACGGAATTAGCAAGTGTGTTTTCAGTAAATAGTTGCAGTAATTGCACGTATCTTCACCATGCAACTGATAATAAAAGTTTGGGCTTTTTGTGACACATTGGCAAAGCAAGCTTACTCTTTGTAGTAAAAGATTTTTTTTGCATAGTCCCAGAACTGAAGACTGCAATGAATTAATCAAAAAGTTAGAGAAACTAGAACAAACATATATTCAGCCTTTGGTAGTGATGTAAATGGCATTGCACCCATTGTCACGAGAAGATGCTTGTATAAGCTGATTTCTTTATAAAGAAAATCTTGTGGATACTGTGGTAGTGATAAGCAACAGTGGTAGGAAAATGAGGGAGTTTATTTTTAATTTTGTACATGATGTCTTTAGAGTGCTTGCAAGTCAAGTATTAGGAGGGAATGTGATTTTATAAAAAGCTTTTTAAAAAAGAGGAGCAGTATTCAGCCTTGTCAAGTTAAAATGAAGCTCATTATGCTGTTTTATTATATAATCAAGAGAGATGATATAATTGAGATATTCATGCAGTTTTATGAGCCTTGCAGTTAATAACAGCTTATATGGTTACTTCTATGCAGTCATAATGTTCTTTTTTCATAAGCCAAGCCTTTGCTTTTTATTATATGTTTTTCCTATTACTAGTGAAGTAATTTATTTCAGTGTTACCATTTGATAACAGGGAAGGAACTGATAGAAAGTTTAGAATTGGATGCCAGTGAATGGGGGCTATTTGGCAAGAAGCTTCTCCTAGGGAAGGTGCTCACTATCCCTCCCAGGGTTTGGAAATCAGCTACGTGAACAGGCTGGGAAACACGTGCCTTCAAAATTAGTGAACCTTTTCCATGCAGAGTGAGAGCTGGTTTGCATCTTTTGACATAATAGGGCCCGTCCTGCCAAATGTCGTCTCCTATTTTCCCTTTGTTTTTGTCATGAACAGTGTTTGATGTGTGAACAAATTCATAAATATCTGTGTACAGTGCAGCAATGCTAAACTTTTTTTACCGAGCAAGTTCTAACTCATGTCCTCTCCAGTCAAAACAAGAATAGACGTCAGACAAACGCGTGTAGAA